AAACTAGAACGAGAATAATTATATTATTTTTTTCGGTTAACCAAATTAATTAAATAATCAAAATATTGTGTAAATCTATTGTTTATATTTATGTTGTGTGGAACTTTTATCGGAGTTATCGACGTTAATGGTTAATGGTAGAGTGATGTTATAAAGTGCAGTGTGTTGTTTTATAAAGTGCAAAATATTGTGATATAAAGTGCAACTTACTAATATTTAAAGTGCACTACCTATATGTGTATTGATTTAATCGGTTTTATCGATCTGTTACCCGCTTTATCCTAAATCCCTGAAATGTTATGTGATTTATTATAAAAATATATTTCATATGTTAATATAGTTTTTTATCATTGTTTTCGATTGAATATAATAATATATTTATATAAAATATATAGAAAATATACTTTTTATATAATTCGGTTGTTGTGTTATTTCCGTTTTTTTTAATTGTAAAGCCGAAAGAAAAATAGCCGTAATTTTAAAAGTAAACACGTGTTGATCTTTATTATGTGCATTTTGAAGTGCATAAATTATTTAATATTTTTCCCAAAACCAAACTAAAACAAGAATAATCAAATTATTTTTTTGGTTAACCGAATTAATTAAATAATCAAAATATTATGTATATATATATTGTTTATATTTATGTTGTCCAGAGTTTTGACCGGGGTTATCGACGTTTATGGTGGTGTGTTGCGATAAAGTGCAATGTGATGTTTTATAACGTGCAGAATTTTGTCTTATAAAGTGCAACATACTGATATATAAAGTGCACTACCTATAATTGTACCCAAATAATCGGTTTAATCGATCCGTTACCCGATTTACCATAAATCCCTGAAATGGTTTGTGATTTACTATAAGAATTTATTTCTTATGTTAATATTTTTTTATCGTTGTTTTCGACTAAATATTTAAATAAAATATATAGAAAAATAAATTTTTTATGTAGTTCGATTGTTGTGTTATTTTTTTATTTTTTTTAATGTAAAGTCGAAACCAAAATAACAAAAAATTTAAAAGTAAACACATATTTTAAACTTTATTATACAAATTTGAATGGAATAAGTTAGTTAATTCTGTTTCGGTTGCTATATGGTGCAGTCCGGCAGTCATTGATGTGCAATGTGATAGTCATTAATGTGTGTCGTGATACCTCTCACATCGTATATATATTTAATGTGAATATACACATTACATTGTAAATTTATTTATCATTAATATATATTTATTAAATGTTCTATAAATTACACATTTGACACATGTACCAAAATATAGATATTATCAAAATTTACTAAATTTTAATGAGGCCCTTTTGAATTCTTTATCTTCCCAATTTAAGCCATAATCCCTAAATCTCACATCTTCTTCCCCAGCACTTCCCCGCCGCCACTCAGCTCTCCGGCGGGACATTCGACGTCGACGTGCTCATCGGCCTCAGTCCTTCCTCCAGAGCTTATCCGCCGTGACCCGAGCTCCGACGCCAGCTTCCAGAGAGAGTGGGTGAAATCGGCCGCCGTCTGAAATTGATGGAGAACGACGGCGGTGGAGCTCCGTACGATGGACCAACGGCGGCGGAGCGTACGCGTGACCGCAAGCTCTACGGCAGCCGATGCAGAGATCCCGACGACATACCGCGACCGGTAGTCGGAAGTCCTAAACTCGCTGCTGAAGTTGATGTCGGCAGTGTATCGGACCTCCATCGCGTACGGCGGCGCGGCAGCTTGGCGGAGGTGTTGTGACTCTTAAGCCGTCGTCAGGCATGGCGTCGCCGGAAAATCGGGCTGTGGTGGTCTCGTCGATTGTATGTGTATGTATGTATTTGTGTGTAATGTATGTGTGTGATTGTGTGTTGACCGATGTGTGTGTGTGTGTGTGTCAGTGTGAGAGAGAGAGAGAGAGATGGTAGGATAATAGGGATATGTGAGGTGTGATCGCCACGTGTCATGCAATAGTTGGGTTGAAGTGATTTGTTAGTTGGCATGAATGGATTGTTAAAATGTTAAAATGTCTATAATACCCTTAAGGAATAAATAAATATTTTTTTTAGCCACTAGATCATCTCATCAAACTTCTATGATTTATTCTCATTTCTTTCATTGAAAATCATTCTCATGTGAACCCAACCCTATATATATATATA